CAACGGCCATGTCAGCCAACACCACTACCGCAGCTGGATCTGCACAGTCAGGTGGGGCCTACGCCGGCTGGGACGATGGGGTAGGAAGCAGCCCAAGGCGGGGAACAGGAGGTGTCCCAGCGGGCTTGGTGTGTTTCAGGAAAACCCGCCGCCAAGCCAGTGGTGGGAACCTCCCACCACTGATAGGGCCCTAGGCCGGAGCCCAGAGGAGAGGGAGGGTCCGGGAATCCCTACCCACCCCCTTTCTCCTAGCTCCCGGTCTCGGAGCTGATCCACAGTGATGAGGCCTCTGGGCCTGCGGAACGGTGACTAGGCCGGGCGGAGAGGGAATCAGAGTAAGGCGCCCCGTGACAGTTACAAATAATTATTTGCCTCCTTGCTGGCAATCTCAGCAAACAGGCCCAAGTCCCAGTGGGCAGGGGGACTGAATAACCTCATTCCTAAAATCTGATTCCAAAACTGGAGTTGAGGCATATTGGCAGGGCAAGTTTAAAGAACCTTGCAGTACCAGAATGTGTCTCGATTTCTGTCACTGGGGCTGCAAAACGAATGCCATTCAGCTACATTATAAATACATAGACGGGCACAGTCTATTGATGCTTTCTCTATTTTCAGTGATTTGATATTCTCTTTCCACTAGGTGGTGGGGAATGATTCCTTGCCTACAAAAATGTCATGCAAATCCTCTACTATTTCTTGCTCAAATTCCACCCCGGCTGTGCTGGCTAACCCGGTGGAGCAATTGTTAACCCTTCAGTGGGTCTCAGAGTAAGCTTACGTGTGAGCACCAATATCATTAGTGGATTATGAATTAAGATTCATTTCCTTAATTTGTCATTAGAAATGGTGATATAACTTTTAAATCAGCAGCTGAGCAGTCCCATCGCAATAGACATAAAACACACTGGCCCAAAGGCAATCTCTAGGACACCAGCAGGCAATAGAAATGAGCCATTTCTGGGTAGTCTTCTAAGCAGCATCCTTGCCTCAGACAGGGATTTACCTGAGTGCACCCATGTTTCCATAGTAGCGTTCATTATGATTCCCAGCACACCTGCTGGTCACTTTTGCCCCTTCCATCTCATCTTCTCCAATACAGACTTTGCATAAATTCCCACCTGCTCCTGGCATACAACCCTTCCAAAAGTAACTCTGGTAAGCTAAGAGAAGGAAGAGACGAGGTTAGTCAACGTAGGGCATTTCAAAATACGTTCTTTCCTAATACAGGATAGGGACTGGGACTGTACTTCCCCATTTGTAAGATGAGCTGCATTTTCAGAACCTGTTTCCTTGTCTCACCCAGCTACTAAGATAAGAAGACCAGACACATTATCTACTAAGGATGCTCTAAGACCTACAGTAAAAGGCTTCACAAATTTAACTCCTGCTTTGGTGAGGGAGAATGGCAGACAGCAAATAAATAAAACTAAACCTTGCAGGTATTCAAGGCTGCCTGTGTTTGTGGGGGAATACTGACTGTGTCCCGTTATCTACCGACAGGGAGCCTGTTTACCTGCCAACAGCTGGATGTTTTAATTAGAAATCCTGAGGGTAATAGGGGCACTCTGCTCAGATCCGAACACTTAAACCTTCTGATCTGTTAGAGACTGAATCTGCCAACCTTCAGAACATGGTGCAAGATGCTTTTGATCAGGTATTAGAGCATAGGTTTTAAAGCTGGGTGTGGAGAACAGCTGTAGGAAAGGATGGCTCTCTGTCTATGGGCAGTATTTAATGTTGTTGAACACATTGCGGTGATAGGCACATTATGAATAACTACAGCTGTCCAGGTCATTAGCAGTGCTCCCCTAGAAATCCATTAGACTTGGGGTATGTCTACACTGCACGGCTATTTCAGGATACTGGAGGTGGTGGCGTCTTCACAAGCCGCCCGTTATTCCAAAATATTTTTTGAAATAACAGGCGCGCTATTTTGGTATCCCAGTAACCCTCGTTGCACAGGGGCTAAGGGGTGTCAAAATTTTGTGCCGTGTAGACACATCAAATTTCGAAATAGCCTGTTTCGAAATTAAATCGGATGCGTAATTTGCATATCTTCTTTCTAGTTTAGAGTGCTGTGTAGATGCACCCTCAGTGAGTACGTTGGAGGGAAGTAGTGGAATAACGGTGAGTGATTGAATTCTTGTATTCTCCCTCCCACCTTCCTTCCCATACCCCCTTGGCAGCCTCCTATGTCCACTTGGTAGATATCCTGGTGCAGTTCTTACCAGAGCCGATATCACAGTTCACAGTGTTGTTCTCCAGAGCCCCCACTGTGTACCTGGAGAGGAGCAGCCACCCCCCAGGACTGTACAGGTGACTGTGGCAGGAGCGACGTCCCCTCAGGTTATGGATATTTAGATGCCTGGCATTCTTCTTTGCCAGCGCTACAGCATAGATAGGTGGCAGTTCTGTGTGACAGCGACAACACCCAGTGAGACTGAGACAGACAGCAAGACATGTTGGACAGGAACAGTCTCCAAGTTTCAGAACCTGTGGAATCCTCCCTAAAATGACACTCCTGCCCCCGCCCCCTCCCCGCTCCTCTACTGAGCTCTTTCAGTTGCAGGGAACTGACGGCTGTTTCGCCTTCTGAACCACAAAAATCTAGTCCTGGCGCTGCTGCCTTGGACAGCTACGGCTCTAGCCCCCAGACAGACAGAGTCTCCTTCTTCCAGAACATAAGAACATCAGAACGGCCACACGGGGTCAGACCAAAGGTCCATCCAGCCCAGTGTCCTGTCTGCCCACAGTGGCCAATACCAGGTGTCCCAGAGGGAGGGAACACAACAGGGAATCCTCACGTGATCCCTCCCCTGTCACCCATTTACAGGCAAACAGAGGCCAGGGACACCATTCCTACCCATGCTGGCTAATAGCCATTGATGGACCTAACCTCCAGGTATCTATCTAGAGCCAGTGCACACTAGGGATACAATAGTGTAGTCGATTAATCGATAAGCAAAAGCATATAGGTTAAAGCTATAGACTGCATTTTCCTCTCCCCCTCTCCCTGCCAGTCAATTTTTTACCAGGCTGGCCAGCAGCCCAGCTCGGTCCTGGCTTGCACTGGGTCTGGGACCTACCCCCACTGCAGCTCTGCATTTAAAGTGTATTAGGAGCCAGGCGGGCCGATGGCCTGCCTCAGTCCTGGCTCATGCTGGGTTTGGGACCTACCCCAGTTTCAGCTCTGCTCTTCAAGTGTATCAAGAGTCAGGCGGGCAGGCAGCCCAGCTCAGTTCTGGGTCGCATCAGGTCTGGGAGCTGAGACTCGCCCTAGGCAGGGGCTGCAGCCCCCCATGCTGCTGCCTCTTTATCAGAAGCAGCAGCACAAGGTGACAGGCAGCTGGTCCATGAGGGGAGCTGGTTTTCAAACTAGCTCCCCTTGCAGACCAGCTCCCACCTGGCTCCCCATGTGCTGCCTCTGATACGCTGGCTGCCATCCCCACCCCCAGGGACTATAGAATAGTCGACTAACTGATAAAATGTCATGAAGTTACTCGACTATTCAGTTAACCGATATTTAACATCCCTAGTGCATGCTCAATCCTTATACTAGCATAAATCCAAACAGCTTAAGCTCAGGGCAAGCTTCCATCATTACTTCTACAGAGAGCAAAAGCTTCTCTTCCTGCCTCCCAACCTATCTTGTCCCTAAAGGAGACTTGTTTGAAAGCGTTGGGGTTGTGGGGTTTTTTTTACCTGAAGTTCGAGAGTCTTCTGTCTGATGACATCCCGGCTCAGTGGGGGTAAAGTATGAGCCAGCAGAGCCCTACAGTTGCTGTCAGCCACTCGGGTGAGTAGCCAGGTCTTAGGAATCCTGTTTTATTGCCGGAGATTTGCCTGAGCATCCCAATGGATCCACTTAATTATAAAGTAGAAACCCAGGCCTTTGCCTGTTCAGAAATCCTTCATTACCTTTATCTGCAAGGAGAGTCAGCTTCTTTGTTCTCCCAGCAGCTGGGGCACATGCCTCTTCTGGGCAAGAGAGATGAAGAAGAGCAAAGTGAGATTTGAAAACCCCAAAACACAAGAGCTGGTGCCCTGCGCTCAGTGGTGCAGGTACTAGATACCAACCCTCATGTGACGGCACAGTCGGGGTTCCCCCGATCCTGCACCCCATAGCAGCCAGAACAGTCTCCACCAGCCAGCAGAATAGAGAGGGGTGTGATGTGCCAATAGGTGTGGGGCTAGGATGCCCCAGACCCCTTAAGGCAGGATGCCTAAGGCCCTAGTCTCTAAGCCCCCTCCTTAGGCTGTCTCCATCATGTTTCCAGCCCCCGACTAACTCTTCCTCCCCCCTACATACTTCCTTTGTTCCAACCTCCTTCCCTCTCCCCAGTCAGAACAGGTCAGGGCAGTGTCTGGCCCCGTGCTGGGCCGTGCTCACAGACAGGGCCAATAGGGGACTGCCCCATCCTAGCCACCAGCAAGATGTCCCACCACATCACACCTCATCATTAAAGAATTGTTTATGGGAAAGATAAATCTGGAGAGACTAATCAAGGGACGGCTTGTGGCCAATGCGGGCTCACATTTCCAGCATAGAAAAATGTACTCATAACGTGCACATGGCTTGTGGGTAAGGCACGGACCCCTCAGTGCAGGGTCTGATGACACTGACTCCTCCCTGAGACTGAGGGACCCAGCTCAGCGAGACCAGGAACTGGAATATGGGAAGGTTTCCTTCCTTCTTCCTTTCCCAGCCATGCTGAATTAGGGAAGGGTTTACATTCTGGTGCATTCCCTCTTCCCAAAATAGATGTGGCGTTCTGGACTGAGCAGGTGCAGAAAAAGTCTTTCCACTCACTGCGAAAGGTATGTGTCTCCACCGTGTCAGCCACAGCGGTGGCTCGAGACCAGGAACTGGAATATGGGAAGGTTTCCTTCCTTCTTCCTTTCCCAGCCATGCTGAATTAGGGAAGGGTTTACATTCTGGTGCATTCCCTCTTCCCAAAATAGATGTGGCGTTCTGGACTGAGCAGGTGCAGAAAAAGTCTTTCCACTCACTGCGAAAGGTATGTGTCTCCACCGTGTCAGCCACAGCGGTGGCTGGGAGAGCTGGCTTGCGCTTTGGGGCTGCAAAATTGCAGTGTCCATCTCTGTGTTCAGTAGGAGGATTCCAGAGCCCTGGTTCCAGCCAGAGACTGAATGTCTACTCTGAAATTTTATAGCCATGCAGCTTGAGTGAATTGGCATGGGCCAGCCACAGGTTTTTCACTGCAGTGTAAATTTACCCCCAAGAGTGCCTGGTGAGATTTACTGGCCTGCTACATTCTGCTTTCTCAAAGCTAACAATTTAGCACCCTGTCCACTAATTTCTATAATCCTTTGCACCGACAGCATCTTATCCAAGGCTTGTGAAGCACTTCAAACACTCTGTTGAGATTTGTAGCACCTCTCTGGAGGCAGGTTAGTATAACTGCTCCCTTTTATAGTTGGGGAAACTGAGGCATAGAATAAGTAACTTGCCCAAGAGCTCAAAGACAGTCGGTGGAAGAGCTGGGAAGAGTATAAAGCTCTCTTGACTCCCATTCCCCTGCCTTTGCAGCTAGGCACTCAACTGTGTAACAATTTTCCCAGGTTTCTAATGATAGTTATTTTTGAATCCCTCCCCTGCTGTCCCCCCCACTTGTGCCTTAGGGATTGTCATGGAGCAGAAAACTCACCGTAACATTCTGCAGCTACTGACACCAGCCCACATACCCCAGCAACGTAGGCATGCGTGGCATCCAGCGTGGCTACATCGGCCTCGTTGCTCTGCCAACAACATCACAAAGTAATACCTTGCACTGTGCCAGATACTGTAACCCTTTGGGGGCCCCGGTATGAAATTTATGAATGGCTTATTGTGTTCTCCTCCATGAAGGAAGGTTGCCACAGTTCCTTTAGGAGCTAGCAATTGTAGGGAGTTATTAAGGTGAGTCACTAAGATTATTCGACTCTAGAGAGGTACCATCCCTGGGGGGAATTTTTGGGGGGACTAATTCAATCTGGTTTTGTTTTTTGTTTTTTTCAGAGATTCAAACAAAGGTTTTTGGCATCAGAAACTTTCAGCCTTTTAATTCTGCATAGGGCAGGGCCTTATGGCTGATGGGTGACCTCTAATGAGCTTCTATCATGCATATAGGAATGCTTGGGTAGAGGGAGGGTTATAGACTCTCTCTACTATTTTAACCCATGTTTGAATGTATTTTGCTTAGTGAAGACTGGCTAATAACTGTGACACTGTGGTGTAGCCTCGGGAGAAGGGGTCCAGCACCAAATCAGACGTGCTGGAGGAATTACAGTTTGGTGCAGAGGAACTGCAAGCCCGAACTCTCAGTATGGAGGGAGAGAGATGAAAAGAAGTGATGGCTGAGAGCCTGAGGTCTTAAGTAGATGCCCTTGAAAACCAGGATAGGTGATGGTCCAAGGCACAGTTCACTCAGACATTGTGATGGTGACAACTTAGGGTACGTCTAGACCAGTGTTTCCCAAATGATGCTCCGTGGAACCCTGGGAAGCGAACGTAAGGGTTCCGCGAGAACCTGAACACTCCCCTCCCCCCGCCCATAAAGAGACAGAGGAGCCCAGCGCGCAAAGACGCTGCCTCCTTCCCCCCTCCTCTTTCAGACATCTCCCGCGTCCCCCGCTGCCGCTCTGCTTTTACCACCGGACCTAGCAGCAGCAACAGCTGCTTGTCCCGCTTCTGCCCAATCAACCCAAGATCCCTCTCCCACGTCCCCTGCTGCCGCTCCGCCTTTACCACCAGACCTAGCAGCAGCAACAGCTGCTCATCCCCCTTCTGCCCCATCA